CTATCATTACTCTTTATTTAAAAGGGAAAGTGGTAGGTTTTGGGGTGGGCAAGGTGCATGTGGAAGTTTGGGAATTGGGGAAGGCTTTTCTAAGGGTATGTGCCCCTAATCTATAGGTATCATGTATCTGCCCAAATTAACCCACCTCATTTGGGGTAGTGATGGAGGTCACTCAAACTTTAGGACAATGATTAATTTATCATGCCCTCCAACTAAGACCTTCATCAATTTTTCTTCTTTTGGGTCCCCCACCCCACCCCAATACCTACACCTCTATCAAGTATATCAACCCTAAAGAACTCCTAGGAAGATAATGTCTAGGAGGACAATCATATGGTAAGTCAAGTGTGGGACAGTGGGAGTGCCCCCTTCAAAATTTCCGTAAATTTGGAGGACCTACACCTTATGACTATTGAGTAGTAACAACAATGACGGCCAGAGACTTGTACTTTAAATTGATTAAGAATATTTATTTTTTAATATGCTTAAATTACCGGTTTGATAATCTATTGTATGCACGTACATAACTAGTTTGAGCTAGAATATTCTATTTTTGTCCCTATATTTGATATCTTAAGTTCGAATCTTACACTGTTTGAGTATTGTACTATCTTGAATTTCATCCTCTCCATAAATAAAATGAACCATACCCAATTTTGAATTTCATCTTCTCCATTAATTTTAAGAGTTTGCCCAAACAACATTGAGATCATACCTAAAGTATTATACTCAGAATGCATTCTAACGATCTTCGGGAAATGGCCATCGCAAACGAACATCCACTACTACGAAAACCACTTATAGTGATGCCTGAAAAAACGTCATGAAAGTTGAAAACCATTCCATTGCGTTTTTAAACATCACAAGATGTGCCATTGTTTAAGGAGTCGTTGAAAAAAAAAATCGAGGACAAAAAGATTTGCTCCATGTCACTTTTGGAAATTATGAACGTATGCGCTTAAAGCATCTCTAGGAGAGGTAGTATTTAGGTAACAAAGTTAGATTTGTTATGCCCCGTAAGAAAAATACATCTCAAACAGAGGTAGCAACCTAATTAGCTATGTAAAAATTTAGCATTGTATATTTACAGCATCAGTTGCTACTTCTTCAAGCTAGAAAATTGTGTCCCTTAATATAAGAATTTTGAAAATAAATTTGGGCCCCACCTAGAGAAAGACTATTGGATTGGGCTTATATATTACTCCACGAGTTTAAGATTATTGCACAAAGATTCTATATGGGCTTAGCCCACCTAAACAAAGACTATTGGATTGGGCTACATATCTCTAAACAAACCCATTTCTCTACCTAATTTTCCCGCTATTTCTTCTACCACCATAGCTCGAAGCTGGAATTCTTCTCGGGAAAGTGACAGTGCCGCCGAAGTTTCGCCCTTTCCAACTCGATGAACTGCGGCGAGCTCGCTCTGGTCTCCACGGCAGCCGTTTTCGGTGCCCTGGCCTCGGTGCTCACTTGCCGCTTCTTCTTTTCAAACCCTAAGAGGCAGTCCTCCAAACTCGATTTATCCAAAAACGGCGTCGTTTCAGGAAACGCTCTTCTCTGAGCCGTTTTGACCCTTCAAAGCGCGAAAATTCCAAGTTTTGAAGTAACAAATGTATGACTAATTAGTGGCAAAATGTTACGAAAATGGTTAATTTTCAGTCGTATTATTTTTGGGTTTTTAAAATTTAATTGTATTTTTTTTTGTTTTGATTGCGGATATTTGTCATGGGATGATTATTTAATGGCAATTGCATTTTTATCAGCTGAAAGATCCAAAGACCCTAACAGGCAGGTCATTGTTATCTGCTCTCTTTTTTTTCTTTTTTTTTTGTATGCATGCTGATGAATTTGTGAATAAATGAGCAGGAATTAAATGTTTTGAGATTTAGCAATGAGAGTGTTACTTCATTCGACTTCCAAGCTAAACACAAATCATGCTTCTGCTGCTGGACAGGTTACTTCTAATTACACTTCCCCGTTCCCATTTACTATGAATATATCATCCCCATCTGCTGAACTGAAATGTTGTCATCGACCAACTTGACGAAATGATCATCCCTGAGGAACTTTTACGTGGATATGTTTCGGTATAAACTAGTAAAATGTGCTTAAGTTTAAATGATGGTAGACTAAATTCACTTCTTTTCTCTTTCGTGGTTCTTTTGTTTTGTTGCCCGCTGTGACTGAAAGTACTGTGAATGCTTATTCTCTATTTCTTTGCAGAGGCTTTATGTGACCATGTTCCCGTGCAATGAGTGTGCCAAGATAATCATTCAGGTTTTTCCTATGCTTCTTTTTGTGCTTGTAATATACGGTATACGAATTTGAAACTACCATGCTTATGTTCTTCCCACCTCCTGCCTTCCCCTCCCTTCGTAGTCCCTCCCAACCCGCCAAAACTCTAGTAATGAGCATAACTTAAACTGCATTTTGCACGTCCAATCTGGTACGTTGCCAGTGTCTAACAGTTTCTTTCTCCTGCCAATTTCTTCTTATTTGCAGTCAGGAGTCGCCCAAGTTGTATATTTTGTGGAAAAGAGGTTAAACAGTCCAGATGTCGCCTACATTGCTTCCCACAAACTACTATCGTTGAGCTTCGTGTTTCCTTGTTTCGATGAGCGGTCCCTAACAGTTTGGCTAATTTGGCCTTAATATTGCTAATGCGTCTATGAGATTAGGCCTGGCATTTTGGACCCAACCCATTAACCCGACCCGACCTAACACTGAATATTTGTATTTGGGTGGATGCTTAACGGGTCGGGTCATTAACGGGTGAACCTGTTAACAACCCGTTAAATAACGGATCACTTTGGGTCAACCCGTTAGACCCGTTAGGACCTGTTAACACCCGTTAGTTGAGGATATTTTAGTAATTTTAGTAATTTTAGTAAAATCTTAATAACAAAAAATAAACTTTATGCAAAAAATAAAAATAAAAATAATTGTTAACGGGTGTTAACGGGTGAAACGGGTGACCCGTTAGCTTAACGGATCGGGTTCGGATGACCCGTTAACTTAACGGGTCGGGTTCAACCCGATCCAAACCCAATAAATCCGACCCGTTTACAGGTCTATATGAGATTGCTTGCGTGAACCTCCAAAGTGTTATCCAATTGGGTGAACCTGCAAATCCTTTTTACATAACACAGGAGCCAAAAACTCAACTGATATCTGTGTTGTTGCGTCTCAAATTGCAGGTCAGGAAACATCAACCGTACACGAACCAAATTTCAGTCAAGTTTTAGGAGCCCTGGATTTTGAATCTGATTTTATATGAACCCTGATCCATCATTTGCGTCGCTCGTTACAATAAACCGGTAAACGGATCTTCATGCCTCGCGGTAACACCTTTTCGCCTCGCTTCTGTACGCATCTATTTTTTGGTTGTCTCTTTGAATCATGAATCACTTGTAGGTACAATGTTTATATTCAATTCTGCACTCTGGTCTGCTAACAATCCATTGTGATCTTCTTATGGGAGTGACTTTTCATCTTCCAATTTCAATATTTCTGCCCGAAAAGTTTGGATTTGGAATATATGAAATCATATATCGAAACACCATTTATGTTGGTTTTAGGAGGATATAGAAGGGAATAAGGGTTTTTAATTGTCCCTTACAATTAACGGCAAAATGGACGAAAAATAATGTAGGTGGTAGATTCCAACCGTTAAGATAGCACAGGTGATAAAAAAATAAAAATTGAAAGTTTAAGTGGTATTATCGCACATGCTTACAAGTTTAGATGGTACATGGACGGAAAGTAATGTAGAAAGTGGGATCCTAAATCCCTCTGTGGTTGGCTGGCCTACGATGAAAACGAAATTGAAAAAACAAAAGCTTAATCTTGTCAATTAAGCTGAAAATAAAATTATGATTCCTGGTAAGAGTGGTTAATTTTGTTAAATCATTTTGAACACCTTGACATTTGATCCATTGTATTATTGCAAGGGTTGGCCAGTAAAAGATGTCTGAAAATCAGTAGTTCATAACAAAAATTATGGATGATAAAGTAATATAAGGTGCGTGAGAAAATAAGGAGATAATCATTTCTTTTTAGTTTTTTAGGTTTTTGTTTCCACATTTTTTAAAAAACTAATCAAAATAGTTTCAAATTTTGGCCTTGAATTCCACTTTTTGGTTTTTAAGTTTTCATTTTTTTGAAAACTAAACAAATTTCAATTAAAAAAATAATAAACTGAAAATCATAACTGAAAAAATGAAAACAAAATGATTATCAAACAACCTTTTTAAGAGAATGGTTGGTAATACGTTTACTTAATAGAAATAGAATAAGGAAGGAATGAGAGAACTTAAAAATAGGAAAAGTAAGCAAAAGAAAGTGTATTAACTAGGGCGCTAGTTGACCGATTTCTAATATTTAGATATTTGATTACGGATTTTAAGAAAAATTAACAATTTTCTGATTCCTTAAGTCTTAACATGAGAAAGTTTAAAAATAAACTAATACCCCTTCATATATTTTAGTAGACATAACAAACTCAGAAATCAAAACGAAGAAAAAAGAAACACGATAGCATTAAATAGTACAACATAAATAAATAGAAAAACAATCACAAGTAAATGAATTTTAACGATCCGAACCGTCTATTTTTCAAGTTGCATCTCATAGATCATACTTGCAAAATATTAGTCAAATCAGAAATATTTAATACATGTAATTGCATTTAAAAAAATTAACGAATACTTTGTTATATAAGAAACAATGAAATTTTATCTTAATAATTAAATAGGCAAATGATTTTGGATTGAATTGAATTTTTGCAAAGATTATCTATGAATCGAGACTTACAAACTAAACTGTTCGAATCGTTAAAGTTTGTTGTGGAGTGGGTTCCACACCTAATCTCTATTTTTTTAGAAAGAATGAGAATCAAGGGCCTGTTACTTCTGATACCCTATATATGCACACGGATTCCGCCCCATGCCAATTTTAGGTTAACGCTTTTTAGGATAAATTAACAAAAGTCAACAAAATCTAATAAATCCAATAGCCTCTAATTATTTAACAACACACTAATTACAGCATATAATAAAATAACTCCATAGGCATAGCATTTTGCATGCATGTTTTTGTGGGGTTTGTAATATGTAAGTACGAATTTGTCCCCACACCCAACCAACTTAACATATTATTAACAAGTCCAATGTACATATATGTAATTTTACCCATAACAAAAAAGAAATAAAAACACATCGAAATTAATTAATTTTTTTTTTTATATTTCCATTAAATATATCAATTTATTATCCAACTGCCACATTCTCACCTTCCCCACCCTGCACCAGTCCCCCCAACTCCTCCTCTGCCTCACCGTCAACCGCCAGCCACCGTTCCATCGGCTTACACTTCATTTTGTGTCTCAGCTTCCAGTCCAGCGCTTGGCACCCACGCGAGCAATAATTCACCGTCCCGCAAACCGAGCACCTCCTAAACTCGTGCGGCCTCGTCTCCGGCCGCCCGCACCCCATGTGAGAGCACAGCCTCATACCCTGCCCCGCCGTCCACCGCCCCGACCCGAACCACTCCCTCATGAACCGGTTTGCGGGGTGGAACTCCGGTACGGGGACGTTGCATCCGTAGTCGCTCAGCAGAGGGCAGCTGACCAGCCCCGTCAGGCACGCGTAGAAGTGCTGGTAGTGGTGGGACCGCCACGCCGCGGAAGAACGTAGAACGGACGCGAGCTCCCGTGCGTTGGCCTGGACCAGCAATCGGCGTCCCTCGGCGACGTTTTGCTTGACTCCGTAACCGTCCTGGAGGCAATGGCCGAGCTCGCGGAGTGCGTCGACGAGGCCGAGCGAAGCGGCTCGCGCGCAAAGAGCCACGCCGGCTCTTAAGTCCTTTCCTTTCTTCGAACAGCCGCTGCCGTTAAACTGAATCACCGCGAGCGAGTACAGCGCCGGCGCGTGGGATCTCATGGCGGCTTTCGCCATGAGCGAGGCCCCGCTCCCTCGGTTTTGTAAACAGTAAAATCGGATCTGTAGCAACAAAAGCGCAAAATTATTTTTAAAATTACAAAAAAAAAAATTCAAATAAAAATAGATAAATTTAAGTGACTAACCATTCCGAGAGTGTAGGAGGCTTCGACGTTACCGGCGCCGACGCACTGTTTGAGAAACCGGTGAGCCGAATCGGACCAGTTTTTGGCCCGTATTGCGAATGCTTTTGGACCGGCATTTGATAACACCAGAGAGTGGAGTCCTAACCGGTTCAATCTCTTACACCTAAAATTTATATAATTTTCCAAAAATAAAAAATTAACACCTTCATCTAAACCAAGAGAAAAAAAAAAAGAAAAAAGAAAAGAAATCCGAGTTCTCAAAGTGCTTACGTGATGAGGGCGCTGATGAGATCGGAAGGCGAGGAAGCGGAGGAGCTGAGCTTGCAGAGGATGAATACGACGAGATCGTCGGGCAAGCCGTCGAAGAAATCCGACTTCGCGGCGGTGGTCGAGCGCCGGGAGCTTCTGAGCCTTTTTATTTGCAGCGTCGCCGCCTCCATGTTTAGCTTTCTTCTTCTTCTTCTGCAGAACCTTCACATAATCCAAGCTCTCTCTCTCTCTCTCTCTCTCTCTCTCTCTCTCTCTCTGCGTGTGGTTGTTTGGATGTTTGTGTGTTGTGTGAGCGTGGAGATAAAAGGCGTGAACGATGGCGTCGGGAGGGCCTTATATACAGCAAAAGACAAGCCAATGCGTGGGGCCCGCAAGATTGATTTGAAGAGAATTAGTTATTAATTGATTGAGAGTTAAATAATGATATTAATTAATTAAATTAACTTTTAATTCTTGACTACGTTTTTTATTTGATTTAATTTAATTTTTGAGAAAACTAATGAAAAGTGCTTGAAAACTTTGAGTTTTAAAGTTAAGGACAAAATAAAGGATAAAATAAATAGTATTATAATTGATTTTTTAGTGTAAAAATGTAATTTTTCGTTAAAATAAACAGTACTATAAGTTTTTTTATTAAAATTTCCTTAATTTTTTAGGTAGGAAATGCTCTACGGTTCTAGCGGTTCGAGGTGAGACGAAAGGACTGTTCAAAGGACTCATCGTGGACCCCGCCTGAGCTTCAGGCCAGCAGGTGCAGGCCCAGTCGCCGCCCGATTGTTCTGCCGAATTCACCTTCGAATCCTTTTTTTTTTTTTTTTAATTTTTAAATTTATTTATTCATAATTCTCCTTGGAGTTATTGATAATTTCTAAAAAAAATAATTGAATAATATATGATAAAGCTCGGTTGAAGTGTTTTGCAATGGTTGAAGACGGTTTTGACTAAAATTGTTTTGGGTTTCGAGATCATTTCAAGTTCTTTTTGAAAAAAAAATCAGTTCTGTACTTCTTACCGAAAGTATTTTAATTGTTTTTTTAAGATTCATTTACATTTTTAATGAAGATTGATTGTAAAATATTTTTACCAAAATCGTTTTTTAATCATTTTAAAAAACCTACAAACGAACGTAATTCATCTAAACTATAGAGATGAGAGAGTTGAAAATGACGTAGTAGATTAAATAGAAAAATTATATCCACCACGGCATTCCACCACTTGCTAACAGCACTTCCATTGGCCTTAAACTTCCATGAAACTTCCATGATAGATGGAATTGAAAGGTTCCATGTTAATTGGACCACTTTTCTAATATAAGCAAGCACTATATACTTCCGTGAAATTTTTATATTAACGTTTTATAATAAAACTTAGGGTAAAAGACTGTTTACTACCCTCATGTTTCGTGGTTTTCAACATTTAGTACATCAAGTTTTTTTTGTCTCAGATTCATACCTAAAGTGTAAATTTTGGGACAGTCTCATACATCTGTTAGTCAAATTGTTAAGTTTTCTGTTAACTGTGATGTGACGCACTGACTGGGCGCCACGTGTCATCCGAGTTTTTTTTATTTATTCTTTTTTCTTTCTTTTCTTTTCTTCTTCCTTCTTCTTCTTCTTCCTCCGACTGCAACTTTCTTTTCTTTTTTCTTTTTTCTTTCTTTTCTTTTCTTCTTCCTTCTTCTTCTTCTTCCTCCGACTGCAATTTTCTTTTTCTTTTTTTTTTTTCTTCCTCATTCTTCTTCTTCCTTCTTTCCTCCTTCCTTCCCTTTCTTCCCCTTCTTCCTTCTTCTTCCTTCTCATTCTTTTTCTTCTTCCTCTGAATCTAGGGAAGCTTTTTTTTTTTTTTTTTTTTCTTCTTCTTCTTCTTCTTATTCTTCTGAATCTACCCAGATTCAGTTTTTTCTTTCTTCTTCTTCTTCCTTCTTCTTCCTCTGAATCTGCCCAGATTCAGTTTTTTTTTTTCTTCCTCCTTCTTCTCCTTCTTCCTTCCTCCTTCTTCCTTCCCTTCCTTCCCCTTCTTCCTTCCCCTTCTTCGTTCTTCTTCTTCTTCCTCCGAATCTGGGGGAAGATGAAAGTTTTTTTTTTCTTTTTTTTTTTTTTGAGGAAGAAGAAGAAGAAGAAGAAGGAGGAGGAAGGAAGGAGGAGGAAGAAGGGGAAGGAAGAAGGAGAAGAAGGAGGAAGAAAAAAAAAAAGGTTGCAGTCGGAGGAAGAAGAAGGAAGAAGAAGGAGGAAGAAGAAGAAAGAAAAAAAAAAAAAACAAACTTCCCCAGATTTCGGAGGAAGAAGAAGAAGAAGGAAGAAGGAGGAAGAAAAAAAAGAAAAGAAAAGAAAGTTGCAGTCGGAGGAAGAAGAAGAAGAAGAAGGAAAGAGAAAAGAAAGAAAGAAAAAAGAAAAAAGAAAAACGTGGATGACACGTGGCGCCCAATCAGTGCGTCACGTCACAGTTAACAGAAAACTTAACAGTTTGACTAACGGATGTATGAGACTGTCCCAAAATTTAGACTTTAGGTATGAATCTGAGACGAAAAAAACTTGATGTACTAAATGTTGAAAACCACAAAACATGAGGGTAGTAAACAGCCTTTTACCCTAAAACTTAATATGTACAAAACAATGTTGAAGCTTTTATTTCCTTCGAATTTTTAAAATGGTCGTATTCATCCTGATGTAGTACATGTTCTTTGTCAAATACTTTACTAGACATAACATCTAATTAAACTATTAGCTAATCAAAAACCATTTTTTGAAAAAATTTAGGGCCTGTTTGGTATCATATTCGAAAATTTTCATCATTTCTTAAGAACATTTCTTGAAAATAATTTTCTTTAAGATTCAAAAATTTGATTGGTATGTGATTTAAAAATTTTAAATTTACGACTTCAACTGGACAAAAAGATCCAAAAAGATGGGTCGCAGGAGAGGGAGAAAGATGAGAGAGGAGTAAAGAAAGTAAAAGATGATTAGAAATGACACACCCCGTCCCGAAGGAGGGCATGCTGGCCGTCACGTGAGAGTGACGTAACCATTTACACAGTCCGGAAGCTTTAAAGATACAATTTCTAAGATATAACTCCCGATGGTGAATCCTACTTTTGTGAATTCTGTCAGAACACCGATGGATTCCTCGTGGCCACCAAAGCTCTGCTAACTTGAACCTGGAGGGGCGAAAAACAAAATTGAGTGGGTCAGTAAAACATAGTTTTTCGAAAACTTTTCATTTAAAACATTTCTAACCCCTCGCTGTAAAACCTGTATACTTCCCCAGAAAAATAGTATATAAACATATATATACACATATCATCAAAACTCAGCTCATATCCATCAACATAACATATCAGAAATAATATGCCACGCCATGCCAAATATAATTAGAAATGCATCGATATCCATCAGGTGAAATAATAAATCAACCGGAGACCCTACAATGGTCCTGTACGGCTGATTCTAAAGCTCAACATCCCACTCAGCCGGAGTCATCACAGTGACCTATACGGCCCTGCTGGAGTCACCAACTGTGACCTGTACGGCACTACACTGCACATCACTCGGAACTACGTATAGTAGTTTGTACGATGAAAGGTGTATAAATACGCTCTAGTGCTTCTCTCATCAATCATCAGCGCGCATAACTAAGGTCACCCACTAGTCGGAATCACATCTAGTGATCTATACGACTAGCATGTCGGAACCCTCACATGGTCTGTACGACATCCACCTACTTGGATCCAAGACGAGCGTGCGGTCTGGTGAATAATAATATAAGCACTAACACCTAGGGTGCAGGTTATGAGCTTTCAATGCAATTCTCATAAAATAACTCATCCGAATAATATAAAAACTCACATGTGCGTCCACCACGTCAATTAACATATATAAGCATCAATTATCAAACTAAATATCTCAACATTTGCATGCATGGCAATTTAAATCATAATTTTCATATAAACGCATTTTCTGGGAAAAACAGTTGTATATAGGTAATACGAAAACAAAACTGCCCACTCACCTGGAGTTCGCCCAACAATTCCATAGCACAATATGTCAAGGCGTCATGACAATCGGCGCCTAAAACAATAATCAAATCAATTCTCAGAAATCATATCGATAGAATATATAACTTATATACAACACGTCACTATGCAGTTCGATCCGGAAGATCTGCAACTCAGATTTCAAATCCATAACTTCCAGAGGTCCACAATATACCTCTAGGACAACTTCCTAAAATTTCATTACCATCCAACGTCGGATCTCTGTCAATTTCCAGAACTAAGTGACGGTTAACATTCTATTTTATGAACTTACAACTCCAATTTCGGAAGATCCGTAACTCGGATTCCCAATCCGTAAGTTCCTATAATCCTTAAATATTACGTATTACAACGTATCAAAGTTTGGTGACGATCCAACGGTCGGATCGTCAATTCACGTTTTCGCCTAACCACGAATCGTACCCAACTTAGGTTCAATTACTCAATTTACGTCCATCACTTAAAAAACTGAACCTAGAACCTTAAACACATGATAAAAATGACATTGGCAGGCCATTGGCCACGTGCCACCGCACGGGCCGCCGTGAATACTAAATAAACGTTATTTAAAGCATATAACCAACAATTCTCAATAATTTCTCATACGGTGCTCAATTTGGGTATATGAATATACCACAGTGACCTACTCGACGTCACGGACGTCGACATATTTTTAAAATAATTTTTGGGCTTGTCACGCGCCCCCACGCGCCGTGGGTGGCACGAACCTACACGCCCCCACGCGCGTCTTCTTCTTCAGCCAGTCGCCGGACTGGTTTTTCCGGTGGCCGGATTCCGGTGAATTTTCAAATGCTTCGTTCTTCTTCGTTTCTCAACCATTTTCTTCGAATTTTATATCAAAATGAAGCCCTAAACATGTAGTTTCACGCTATACTACTTTAAGGCTCTAAAAATCACGAAATCTCACCAGAAAAATTCCAAGAAAACCGGCCAAAGTTGAACCCCATGATCCTGACGTCCAAAACCTTTAAACGAAGCACTCCGAGCTTCCTTAGGACCTCACTAAGCTCACTATAAGCTTAGAATTCCCTAAAAATCAAGAATTTACGTGTGCATGAACAATGTCATAAAATGGGAGTTCGGGTTCCACGTGATTCCGAGGGTTTCACTTCCTAAAACTAGTACCATTCAACTCAGAACATCAAAAGGATGAAGAATCTCACCTTTTTAACATCGATCCGTGGTGATTTGGAGGGTTGGTGCTTCGTCCGTACGTTCGAGGGGGAGA